AATGTTCAGTTACTGGGCAAAATCTCTTTATTCAATATTTTATCTAGGCTCCACAGATATTGTCTGCCTGGCAGAACTTTGTGTGCCTGTATATGTAACTTATATAGCCCAGTCTCTTTGCCTGTTTACCACATTCAGAATTGGCTCTTTTATTAACTATGTAGTTGTTTGGGTGTCCTTTAATTTTTTTATTAAATATTTTCTTTCCCAATATTCTACCATTGCTGTTTTGTGACTATACTATTCTGGACATAGTTTGGCATAATTTGAAGATATTCAGACCTATCCAGATGCATCATTTTTTCTCCTTATGTAGGTAGATCACCTTATGACCAGGTTTCCACAGCCACGTGGAATTGAGCTGGATCCAGCCCTATATTTCTCTCTCTTATTTTGAAACTTCATTGCTAATCAGCAGAGAGGCAGACTATGGTCCCTTTAGTTCTTTCCCCCCATTAATGCTCCCTTGAGAAACATGTAGAGTTGTTAAATTGTTTTAGGTATCTTTCTTTTATAAAAGAACATGTTAATTTTTCTTGCAGAATTACATCTCCCGTCTCCAGAGACTGTATTAACATCTCAGTTTTTAGATTACACTTCTCTACTGTAGGAAAATAGAGCATACCCTGGATGGAAGGTGTTCCTCCTTCCTTGACAAATAATCTTTTTGCCCTGTTTCTGCTGTGTTGCTAATTCTGTCTGCTTTATTTCCTGAATTTCCTTTGGAGCTTCAGTTGCTTTTTGAGAGATTAGAAGAAAGATGCTTTCTTCTCCCATTATTGGGATTGTTACACTTGCTTAATCCAAGTGTATATTATAACCATCTTGCTTGTCTTGTGTATGTTATAGCCATCTATTATCTGCAGAAGGTTAAATATGCCATCTTTCACCTTTGGCTTATGCAGTTTGCTCCTAACTGGACAATTTCCAGAAAGATCTGAAGATGCAATACTTTTCAAAGTGATTCTTGCAATGGTGCCCTGACTGGTCCCAGAGGGACCCTAGCAGAACTAATGTGAAAATTCTAGAATGATCCCAGGGCAATAACATTGCAATGCCCAAAGGGACTCTTGAGTTGCTGCTGTGAAAATACTTCTAAAGCTTCATGTAAGAGCTCAGAATGTTCCTTAAATCGATAAGGAATATTAATAGCATACTATGTTAATAAGATTCAATATACTGTTGCACATTTTGTACAAGGAAAACCGACCTCTGCAACAGCAACAGACCAGTTAAGAGGCTTGTTTACCCTTAAGTAATTTGAAAGCATTCCTTTTCTGTATCCTTCAAGGAGATGCAACCTGGTTCTTAGATTCCTCCAGCATTTCCCTAACAAGCTGGAGGATATTTCACTGATATTACCGAATCAAGACAGTTGGTGATGCTCTAATTTTGGCTGTTTCACTGATTCTTGTAAGGAGATGCCAATGGCAAAATATTTTTTTTTATTGTTAATCAAATTTATATCCCACCACAATTATAGAAGACTCTTGACAGCAAAACAGTACTTAGAATCAATAATAGGATGGATTGAGGGACACATTAGGAAAACAGATCCTAGCAAGTAAATATAGGAGCAATATTGGGAGTTTCTGTTCTAGGAGGGACTGTAATTCTTTTAAAGAAAGAGGTGTGGAAGTTTGGCTGTATTGTGATCTCACAATGTCACTGTGAATCAGTTGGCCTCAACAGTGTGGGTTACTTTGTTTATATTGAGTGGTTCATTCCATTCTGGAATAGGGATCGTAGTCTAATAATTAGACATCTGCAAGGATGTTTTTTAGGGATAGTGAGTCAGCAATTGCATTGAGCCTGCACTTGTGAAGGACTCTGTATCCAAAATATGAATTAGAAATGTTCAGAGGGATTTTTCATCCAGGAGCGTCAAATTAACTACAATATAATCTTAAGAGTTATTTCAAAATTGTGGGGTTTTTCCCCACAAACTTCTATTTACTGGTCCATTGATCTGAATGCACAGAAGAATATATATTCAGTACAGCAGGTTGAAAGATTTTATATGTACAGAAAAATACGGTAAGTTGAGACTGCAAGGTAACTGCATAAACCAGAGTTCCCCAACGTTACCAGCTTTCTGGACCGGTGTGGGGGGAGAGGGGATGGTTCACATGAGCAGCGGGCAAGCATGCACCCAAGATCATCCACCACTTCCGCGGCCCGATTCTGAAGGGCTCAAGGCCTGGTAGTGGGCCCCAGCCTGGGGGTTGGGGAGCCCTGACAAAAACAATGTTTATGCCACCATATTTATTTACATTAGGTATTTTGCGTTCATGCCCTGAGAAACAGTGACAACCTCCTAAATAATACTAAAACTATTTTTCAAAAATATTTTCAGAACATATTGGCAAACCCTTAATTTTGCCATCATCCATCTCATTTCAATACCAGAGATGTATGCCCCTGGAAAACATTTCCAATAACCATTAAAACAAGGCAAGGAATTGATGACTGATGTTTGATTCTCATCATGAAAAATTCAGTTTGCATACAATTTATTTAAGCAGAATTATTTTTATTTCCCAAAGAGTAAAGCTAAATCATATTAGCTAGAATTAAAATCTACTGCAGAGCAATATCTATTGAGGACAAGTCAGACAGCACATGAATATGCATGTTTCTAAGATATTAAAATCTTTTATTCTGGCAAGAAGATTGGGAAAAGGAGAAAACAAAAAGAGGAACACACCACCCAAAAATCATCTCTAGTATTTATTCAGCCAGATGTTTAGACCAGATTTGGCATTGTTATCCCCCTACTGAATCCTTTCAAAGATTTGGGATAGGCAGATGTGGATGTTTGATGGCATTGGAGCAGGCATGTCAAACTGCCAGCCCATGGGCCAGATGCATCACGCCAAAACCGCGCCCAACCCATTGCCGGCAATGGGGAAAAAGTGATACGTTGCACATCACGTGACATCGTGAGTTTGACATGCCTGCGTTAGAGGTATCATTGCAGGATGTAAGCTGTTCCAAGTAAAGCTGCCTTTTGCAATTGATTGATGGTGAATTTGTCAATGCTGCTAGTGTTCAGGTAGTGCTCCAACTGTTTTGGACCTATGGTGCCAATTACTATTGGTACTATCTTTGCTTTCTTTTGCCACAGCATTCTACTTTTATTTGCAGGTCATTGTATTTTATTATTTTCTCCAGTTTTTTTCTCTTGTGTTGTCTCCAGATACTGCCATGTCTAGACTTTTTTTTTTTAAAAAAAAATTCTTATGGACAATTGTTAAGTCTGGGATATTATGTCGCAGGTACTTGTGTGCTTAAATTCTAAAGTCTCACAGCAATTTAACTTTTTCATTTTCTATTACTTTCTATATGGTAAAGTTCTACCAGTCCTTGCTTGCAGAAAAATGATATTCTTGCAGATTTTCCTAATGCACCATTGTTGCTACTTTGTCATGCAGTTGTTTGTAGTCAGTCTTGTGCGATCTTTTTGCAGCAGCTAACTAGGTGGTCCAACTGTTTCTTCAGCTTCTTTGCAAAGACAGCATTTTCTGTCTGTTGCTGTCTTCTCAGTTCTAGCTTTGTATGCATATGTTCTTAATGGTTGGATTTGTGCAAGCTGAATTAGCCTTTCTGTCTCTTTCTTCAATTTTCCTGCTCTTAGCCATTGCCGAATCTTGTTGTTATCTAATACGTTTGTTTTTATGTACTGGCCATATATACTTTGTCTTACCATGTCTCTTTTCTATTCTTCATTTGGGTTTTCTTGTAGGCCAGTTTGGCCTCTCTGGTATTCACTAAGCTTCCTAATATACTAGTTTCAGTGCATCTTCTTCACTGCCCTTCAGATATTCTTCCAGTCCCCATTTTCCTTCTTCAACTGTCTGATGTACTTGAAACATTCCATTCCCATTTGTTTTCCTTGGTAATTAGAATCTATCGATGAATGACGGGTATGAATCATTGTCATTATTTTTCTGGTCTTCCTATTCAGGGCTTTTAATTCTGCTTGAGTCCTGTCTACTATCCCATCTCCAGTATTTATTATTATTATATTGGTTAGTAATAGTTATTTATAGTAGGAAATGGATTATTTTTTAATTGAAAAGTGAAACTATAATACACTGCACTAAACATACACAATAACAAAGTACGGAATTGTCCCAAATAAGTAGTAACAGAATATAAAAATCAATATTTTACAATAGCAATAGCACTTAGACTTATGTACCGCTTCACAGTGCTTTACAGCCCTCCCTAAGCAACTTACAGAGTAAGCATATTGCTCCCAACAATCTGGGTCCTCATTTTACCGACCTCGGAAGGATGGAAGGCTGAGTTAACCTTGATCCGGGGAGAATCGAACTGCCAAACTGCAAGCAGCTGGCAGTCAACAGAGGTAGCCTGCAGTATTGCATTCTAACCATTGGGCCACCATGGCTCATTACAGTATATATCTTTATAAGAATATAAAAATTAATAGAAAATCAATTTAAATAATACAATACATACAATATTGTTCAATACCATTTTTTTTTCTCATTTGGATTATTTGAGGTGAGATAGTTGGGTGAGGTGAGATGAACTACTCACCTCTGGGGACATGATTCAGAAAGAAAGAAAGGGTGGTGACTTCATGTGTTTTAGCAGCTCAAGACCTCGATACTTGTGATGGTGATGTTTAAAGTTTACGTTTACAGACAGTGTATGGTTGCAAGTCGTGATGGTTATTAACTGAGGCGCCCATGTGATGGCCTCGCTTACCTTCCAGCCTTGCGGAAGTTGGAGATGTTGTGTGGGTCATTAAGTGGGGTACGGGTTGCCTCAGGACTAGGAAGAACCTGGAAGGTCTAGTGCAGGCCCAGACCTGTCTGCCCTGGGCCTCCCAAGCCTTCCCCACCCCCTGAGCAGTGGACTCAGATTCATCTTTCTCTGGCAGGTCACTTATCACAGGAGAACCACAGTTTGCACCAATTTCAATTAGTGTCAGTGGTTCAACTTCTGGGGATGAAACATAATATCCTCTCTGTATTTGCAAAATGCTTTTATTACAGATAATCATAATGCCATTCACCAGAAATAAAATTGCAGCAATACAACCAACATAAATAGCAGCTCCAACCCTCCTGGTGCTCTAAAAAAGTAGGCATTTTCAAAGGCTTAGGAAACATAACGATTGTGTGAACCAAGGTGGAATACATGTTCCAGGAAATTGAAATTAAGACTATGATTCCTGTTAAACTCAGAAGGCCTCCAAGATTAAAAAGGCTGAGTAAATTTTTTTATGTGATATAGTTTGGACAACATTCCAGAAGGCAAAAATCATGAAAATGATCATCGGGACTGCCGCAATGACTCCCAAGGATATTAGATCTTGATCCCTCCCAAATTTCTTTGGGCAGCATCCTCAGGTCTTCATTGGACTTTTTCATGGTGGATATATCTGGTGTTTGGATATAGGTTCTCAGATTCCAGTCCATACTATGTCAAGATACATGCCATCCTTACTTTCAACATGTCATATTCTCCAATGTTCAGTAGCTCTGAAGTAATGCATATAATCATCCCAACATACTAAGTAAATAAGTACTTAATTGGGCCCAATTAATCCAGGCTGACCATTTTGTGATCATTCTTTTTCATTTGGTAGTTGCCCGTTAAGTAATTTATTGGTCACATAGATGAATTTAGGAAACCAAATCAAATCAAAATAGCACAGCATACATTTACACTATTATATAGATACTTGCACATGAATAATCTAGAGGTGTAAAAGACTTTCACCATTCATCCCATTGGGAGTAAATTTCCCTCCCATTTGATTTCTTAATAATATAAAATGTCTTTATTTAATAATCAAATTTATACACCATCCATCTTACTTTCTAAGTGACCTGAGTGATTTACAAGTAAAAAAATAAATGCTGCTTTTCCCCATTCAAAAATCTGAAAAATAACATCCTAAAACTATTTAAGTTGCTTAACAAAAAGCAGTACATTTTAAAAGGCTTAAATAAAATGTATTGGCACTAAAATACCAGTCAAATAGCCAATAGGCAACAAAAAAGCAGAGTGTTATGTTAACAGTTACAGAACTTCATGAGATGTACACAAATATCAGATATGAATGTCAAAAGTTAAGAAATCCTTTCCCCACCATTAACATAGTTTAATAAATCTTTCTACAGTACAAACTGAACAGTTTATATCATTTAGTATTAAACTATTAAACTTTTATTGGTATTAGAATACCAATAAAAGTTCACATAACTATAAGCAAGAAATCCGGGCCGCTTACTTTGTAACCTGAGGATCTACATTACTTCTCATTCTCAATTGACTTAGTCTATCATCCATGTTGATGACATCATTGACAGCTTAGTCTATCAATCATCTTGACTATATGAACCATATCGATGACATCAGCTGTGTTGATATTTGCTGAAATGGAAACAAAATAGTTCAGCGTTTGTTTATACACAGGCATGAGTCTGCAATCATACAAACAAGGGTATGACATAGTAGGAAGAATTTCTTTTTGGATAAATAGAATATTTGTGACAGTTGTCATAAACAATTCTTCCATACTGTACCAGTGTTTCTCAAGCTCAACAACTTTTAAGATATGTGGATTTCAGCTCCCAGAATTTTCCAGCCATTCTGCTGCGGAATTCTCGGAGTTGAAGTCCACACATCTTAAAGTTGCTGAGTTGAAAAACACTGCTCTAACGTGTCTCTGCTTTGGGGACTGATCCTAATATTTTTCACCAGCAGCCTGCCTGCTTCTCCATAAAAGGAGACAGAAAAGGACTCCTGGCATCTACAATCCCATGGCCACATTTCTCTTTGCATTTTTTCTAGCTGTGTTTTGCCCCTCTTTGAAAGTGTGCCAACTGATTTATTTTTCTCATTTTCCTCTTAGGCCATATTTATTCTTTATTATGCTTTATGACTGAATGTATGTTTTGACCTGCAAAGAACAATTTATAGTGAGACATTTTCACTGGGAAACTATTAGAAGGGCAAAAGGTTACTCTGTCACACAAAGGTAATGTAAGTCAGGCTTCTGTGTCTGGTTTAAACACAAAGTGGAACACAGTTAATCTTCCTTTTTGGGACATAATTACTTGAAATTGCTTTTAGTCTCCTATCACTCAAATTAAAAAGAAAAAAGAGACACAAGAGCTTGCTATACATTACTTGAAATCCACAGTGCTTATTGGTATTAGGTAATTGGAAAACCCCAAAGGAATGTGTTTCAGATTTTTGAAGATTTTTTTTACTCTTTTTCTGAACACCTTAGCAACATCTCTTTAACAATTTTAAAATTTAAATTGTAGTTTCCATTAAATACAAATAGATGAAGAGTTATTTAACTGTTATTCCAGGAAAGAAGGACCCAAAACATAAGCAGAACAATGTTCATTAGCACCTACTGTATTTAACAGCAGTAGTCACCCAGTGACTTTAGCATAAAACTCAGTTTTGGCTTCTGCAAATCTAAAAAGAAAAATCCTTTAAAAGAACAGCCATGTATTCCGTTAGATCCCATTATAAAGAATCTATAATAATTTATTTGAATAGGAATTCACTTACTTTTCATGATTCCAATATTGAAGAACCAGTGGCTTTCCAGAAGTTGTTGCGTAATAATTCTGAACATCCTTCACATTTGGTTCTGCTGGGAAAAGTCACTGGTAGGTCATTATATTTGAAGTAAAAATTGAAAAGTCCTGAAATGGTAACCAATTATCTCTCTTTATGTCCAATGCCTAATGACCAGCGTCTCTTTCATTCTTCTCCCAGACGTCCATTTTCAACTGTCACTGGACATTCCAACTGCCACTCCTTAACTGACAAACTGCAGAATTCCAATGACAAATCATACTGAACAGTTTCCATCTTCTCTTTCAAATCAAGGCATGCGTTTATATGCAAACAAAATAGACAAGTCCAATAGATGTAGTCTCAACAGAAGATGCTGTGTTAAATAACAGAATAACTGTTTATCTCTCTACTGAATTCCCTTCCAGGGCAATTTAGAAGAGATGCTTTACAACAAAGAAAAAGGGATCAAAATATACATGAAAGAGCTGAAAACAAAGAACCAGCAGTGGAGAAGATTGGTGGGAGGGGCACACTTTGGTCCCAAAGTTATTGTCCCACCCCAAAGCGGATTCAAACACTATCCAGTTTAAAAAAGCTAAACAAGACCCGATGCTGGAATAGGATAAATCCTTTACTTTGGTAAAATAAGATTTATTGGGGATGTCTGAAAGCATTAAAATAAAAAAAATATCAATAAAATAAACAGATATTGATTGTATGTCCAGTCAATCCTTTAAGTTTAATTTAATGCTTTCAAAGCTTCTACAATAATAAAAATGGTGAAGGATATTATGGATCTTTAAAATACTTCCGTCAGATGCTGTTGCCTCAAAACCTAAGCCTGAGTCTAATGTGGAGCTGATAAGAACTTGATCCCTGAATCTGAGAGAGACACTTTTACCTTTGCTTTACCCATCTGAATATACAAATCACTAAGTAATTCAGGCAAAGCAAAAAGCATTTATTAAGGAGAGAAGTATCATGTCTTGTTAAATGATACAAATGATACATACATTGAGTATATATGTGATGCATCACAAAGCTGATGATCAAACAATAAAAGACATCAATTACATATGAGACTGAACAATAGACAACATTGATTCATTCTCTTTAAGAAGATTGCCATCTGCACTCTTATAGATGCTGAAGGATAGTGAGAGTCCAGTAAGAAGGCTCAACCAAGGCCTTGCTTGTTATCTGGAGTGGGCAGATGGCTGGGCCTTGGACTGTAGTGCACCCCCCCCCCCCATAATTATGCCATTTGCTACATACCAATCCCAAGAAGTACCTAACTGAGATGCTCTGAGAGATAAAGCACCAGAATGGATGCCCATAGTGCTGTTGGAGAAAAACCTGAAGTGAACGTGACTTGTAAGAGTTCACATCTGGAATCATATCACCCCAGTAAATGTGATGAAATATCAATATATCCCCAACATTATTACAGCTGCTGATAGCTGTCCAGCAGCAATGGTCTGTAGGGATGACCTTGGCAGACAAGTGGAAGAGCCACAGACTATAGTCAGACAAGCAGCAATGGAGCCTGAAGAAATAAGGTGGAAGATTCTAGGCAGTCTCTATCATAAACATCTCCTTTCATCAATCCAACTTTGGACTGTGTTGTCTCTTGTCTCACTCTGTTTCTTGGAAAGTGTTCTCTCCTGGAGAACTGCTGCTTCATTGTAGTCCACGGGTCTACAAAATTTTGGCTTGCCTGGGCTACAATGAGTGAAGAGGAATTGTCTTGGGCCACATATAAAATATTTAATATAGTTAATGTATCTAAATCACATAATAATGTTAGAAGTTTACAATCTTGTGGGGCCGCATTGCGAAGGGTCCAGGGCTGCATGTGGCCTATGGGCCTACACATCTGCTGTAGTTCATCTTATCACTTCCCCCTTCGACATAATCCACCATATTCACCTAGTTATTGAACTAGATCTTGCTGAACTGTGAAGGAGGTCCGGGAGGTACCTCCTGTTGGGTTCATACTACTATGTTGGTCTTGTTGAGATAGAAGCTGCTGTCTTCAATCTGCTCAAGAGGCTGACCTTGGTCCCATTGATTTTAAATTACCATCCTGTCTCCAACTTTTCTTTTGGGCGGGGGGAAGGTTGTTGAGAAGGTAGTCAGATTGCAGTTGCAGTTGCATAAGACCCTTGAGTAAGCATATTATTTAGATCGATTTCAGACAGATACTAGAATGGGATTGAATTGAGAAAATTTTGATTGCACCTGTTGATGAGCTATTGCAGATCCAAGATGAAAGTGGCACCTCCATCTTTGTGCTCCTTGATATCTCAGTGGCCTTTAATATATTAACCATAGTATCTTTCTCAGCTGGCTGTGGGGGTTGGGAATTAAGTGCACCTTAAGGTACAGTGTTTCTTTCTTCACAGCCAATTCAATTGGTGTTGGAAGAAAGTGGGGGAGAGGTTAAGTGAGGTACCACAGGGTTAATGTTCTCTTTCCACCTGTTTAACCTGTACATGAAGTTGCTGGATGAGGTCATCCATTGGTTGGGATTTTGTATTAATATGCAGATGGCACCATTGTATTTATCAACCTCAATTGGCCAAATGATGCTGTTGAGGTTCTGATTCAGCCTGGAGGCAGTTCATCCTGGAACTGACACACTCAATCCCTTTGAAGTCTCAATGGCTATGGATACTAGGGCCTCCTGGACCCAAGAGTTTTCTGTCTATACTCTTAAATTCAAGAATCTGGGGAACCTTTCGGACTCAGATGCTGCTCAAAAGCAGGTGGCAGCTGTAGCCAAGGGGGCCCTTATATGCTGCATCTGGCATGGTGCTTTCTCAGACTGGGAAGTCTTTCAATCACTCATGCCCTGGTCACCTCACAGCTCAAGTACTGCAATGTACTATAGATTGGACTGCCCTTGAAAACTCTGAAACTTTGCAATGCAGCAGTGTGGGCAATAATGGATATGCCTCAGAATGCCCATGTGATATTGCTGCTTCATAAGCTGCACTATTTTGCCAGTATGCTTCTGGGAGTGATATAAAGTGCTGGCCATCAATCCTACATGGCAGAGAGGCTAATTATTTCAGGAATTGTCTATCTCTGCATGGCCAGAATATGCGGTGATGCCTCCTCTGTTGTGGTTCCTGTTTTCGGAAATTCCCCATTGAAATCATTATGGCCTATCCTGTTGACATTCCATTAGTGTAGAGGTGAGAGACAGGCAAAGGTCGTGTGTGGAAAACTGCCCCTCCAAAGCCTGTGTGCCCCTCCTCTCTGCATCTATCTCATTTCTTCACATCGCCATGGCGATGTGAAAGTACGCAGGTCTGTGTGACCTTGCCAGTCTGATAACAGCTAGTACGCAAACAACAAAGATGTTATTGCCATTACTATTCCCTGTTTATGGCCTCTGGCTTCTATATTCTTGAGGATTGGATAGGATTTTAGCCAATGAAATGCTATTGTCATGTAGAAACCTTTGCTTCTTGGAAACTCTATATAAACAATAAAAGCTGCGTAGAGAGCAGCCATTTTTTGCACCCTGCAATGACTGAGCACTGATTACTACACATAAGGCCTTGACGATCTGGTTTTTCTCTGGCCTTAAGTTCGATGGAACCCTTGTTAGATGCCTTTTTATCTGTTTTCATATGTAAAGTGAGTGGATCCCATCTTGCTTTGATCTGTATTGAATTTTTAATGTTTATTTGGGAGTTGGACAACATCTAAACTGAATTAAATAAGTTCAGTAAATAATAAAGATCACGATCAGACTTCCGGTTTGCCGACGCAGCTGCCATGGACATCTGGAAGGCGAGCTCCGACTTCCATGTCCAGTTTCACATCACTGGGGGACCCTGGAAAGGGTTGAAAGTCACCCTGTAGGGGTGACCAGCAAGGAGGGGATCCCCACCTGATCGCGGGAGGGTGGTAGCTCTTCTGCTCAATCCGGGGCAACCCTCCAAACCGGCGGACGAAGGACCGGCCATAGCAATATGGCTTGTCACTAGGCTGTAGACAGCTGAAGTCACACTTACCACCAGGCAATTATAAAGTAGCGTGGACAAGACTGGGTGAGATCTACCTCTCTTAAATCCTACTTTTTCCTGAATAAGCTGCTTAAAGTACTTTCCCCCTGTGGATAGGGGAGATTTTATCTCTCCGTCTAGAAACAGCGGCGACTGACTATCCAGGGGAGTTTAAAACATTGCAAGAATAACCGGTTCCTAATTGGAATCTTATTTCTTAAAGTTTGTGGACTAAAAGAGTTTCTATTCTTACTGAAGATCTGGGCCTTTACTTATAAAAAAGAAGCAAAACTGAAAAGATTATAAAAACATTGGATTCAAAAGAAAATTTTAAATTAGGGGCAACATCTTGTGGCTAAACCTGATATTACAGTTTGTTATTGCTTGCTTAAGAGAGACTTGGCCAGCAGCCCAGACAATAGATAAGACCTATGTAACCTTAAAACATTAGCTATGAAGCCCAGCTGTGTTCCACACTCGGTGACAATTTTTTTTCCTGCATTCTGATTGTAAAGCTTTTAACCAAATACACTACTAAGAGAATATGGATGAAGATCAGGAACAGATTCTCTTTATTTTGAAAGCAATTCATCAAACTATTCTAACAGCTACTGATGAAATAAGAGGTTACAGAAAAGAACAAGATAACAGCCCAGAGATATGAACCCAAACTCTGACTACAATTAAAAAATTAACTACACAGAATATAACAGAAAAAGTGGAACAATTAAATATTATGACAGAAGACTCAACTGATCAACAAATACAGTCAATGGAAAATCCAGAAAAGGGACTAACAATATGGAAAAGGGAAAGACTTTCTACACAAATCAGAAGAAACCTGAGGATCAAGAAGAACAACAGATTGAAGAGAAGATAAACAGTTCAGGACAACCACATCAAGATGGAAAAATAGAGAGACGATTTGTTTGTCCTCTCAAAAAAATGGCAACCGGATGGTTCTTTCTACGTCAAACAATATACATAACAACGCAGGGAGATTTATTTGATAATTCAAAAGCATGGACATGGAAGACAATTTGGCAAGTAAAGAAAGCTAGAATAAGACTGAAGAAAATTGGGGTTTTGACTTACTAGTGAGAATTAAAATAGAATATATTCAAATAGATAAGATGTGTATTTTGAATACTAGATATTGTTATGAGTGGAGATAAAGAAAACTTTGGTCATTTAAAACTTGGAAGTAGAAATATTAACAGTTGAATCTGAACATTGATTTGCTTATAAAGGTTAAATGTAAAGGTAATTAAGATTTATATAAGCTAAAAATTTATTGATGAATGCAATAAATGTTATTTAGCGGTAATAAAAAAATTATCAGTTTAAATATGAGATAGTAGATATTAAGAGAAGAAGAGAGGAAGTATTAAATATTGAAATAAGAGAAACTTTGGTTACTAAATTTAAGATACTTGGAAATTACCAGAAAACAAGAATATTATATTGTATTATTAATTGGTTGATGTAATATGGTGAGAATTCAAATAGATAAGACATGTATCCTGAACATTAGACTTTGTGATGAATTGTGATAAAGGGAATTGGGATTATTTAAAACTTGGAAATTATAAATATTAAACATTAAATTTAAATATTAATGGGAAACTAAAAAATGGGAAAAACTAATCAGGACATTGATTGTCTAAAAAGATTGAATGTTGAATAACTAGGATATATATAAACAAAAAATACTGATCGATGTAAAAAAGTTATTTGTATTTAATTGATATAATAAGAATTGTATTAATTTAATTACGAGACAGTAAATACCAAGGGGAAAAGAGAGGAAATATTTAATGTAATAGTTTGAGATCTGTACTAAAGATATTTGTTTGTTATTGAATAATTAACCAATTCAGCCGCCACATTGCTTTTCAAATATTTAAATGTGAAATTAGAAAATCAATAAGATTTTTTTCAAAAAAATAAAAATAAAGATCACGATCAATGTTAAGGAGAACTTTTCCAGCTGGTGTAATACTGAATTAAACTATATAGAGGGAAAAATAAAATCTATCATGATTACTATCCCAGCATAAAGAAAATATTTTAAATCAATTTAGAGTGTGAGAAGAGGAACATCTTACCCTAGCTTCAAAAAGACAAAAAATCAAGTTCCCAGCATTTCTTTAAGGGCATTCTGGAAACAGGGTTCCCTTAGAGTCATCCACCTAATTTTTCATGGTGAGGACAAACAAAATCATGTCTCCAAGGTTGACCAAAATGCTCAGAGGGTGGAAGGAGGCTTTCCCTGAAATATTCAGCGACATTCCCTCTAGTTCCATGGACAATAGTTGCCGCATTGATTCCCCAAACTGTCAAATCATACTCATGCATTTTAGATGCAAGTGTATTGAATGTGTATGTTCTTCTAGGGGGAGAATTCTGAAAGAGGAAGGAAAAGTGTCATGCGGTGCACCCAAGACTTCTTCCAGTAGTTAGAAAGGACATCATGGTTGAAGCAATAGCATATTGTACTCCAATAGTGCTTCAACACTGAATAGATCCTGACCACAATCTGACCAACAATTTGACCTGGGACCATCTCAGTCTCAAAAAAGGTTGGAAACACTAATGAAATGGTACTAAACATTTAATTTTATTTAAAATACCTCTGAAATTGAAATGCCGCATATATTGTCTGAACAATAGAAATGATTTAAAATGAAAGATGCTAAATGACTTCTAGAATTTTGAGGACACTAAAAAAATTCACACACACCCTATGCCAGTGGTTCTCAACCTGTGGGTCGGGACCGCATTTGGGGTCGAACGACCATTTCACGGGGGTCGCCAAACAACGCAGTCCGCCATTTTTTCCCCCCTTTTCCTTAGCTGTGCTACTCCCTTTTATTCTATTGGCTTTTGAAAGCCAATAGAATAGACTCTCTTGAATAGAGTCTAATTCTATTGGCTTTCAAAAGCCAATAGGAATTGTCCAGGCTGTCTCTGCCCTGCTGAGCCTGCCAAAAGTCCCATTCTGCAAACGGTGCTGCACCAGTTGAGTAGTCCTCGACTTACGACCGGTTGAGTAGTCCTTGACTTACGACTGGTTGGGGGTCGCGGCATTAAAAAGGTTGAGAACCACTGCCCTATGCACACACACACAGAATTCTGCTTCCCACCTCAGAAGTTTAAAATGAAGCTGCTACCTTAATACAATGCACAATCTTGCTTTGCCACTACTTGTAGCTGATAAAAAAATCCAATTTTGATATAAACCTAAATATTTCCTTGCCTCAGCACCACTGAACCCAATTATTACTATACGTTAATAATAATATGTCAGTCTTTATCTAAAAAGTATCTTTCTTTAAAATTAATTCATAGAATCATCACAAAGGGACTATTTAGGCCTTTAAATTCAACTTTTCAATCAGGGTGGGATACCACAGTAAAGCATACCAGAAGGGAGTCTGGTTACTGCTTGCCAGGATCCAGTAAAGAGGAATCATTACTACTTGGATTCCTTTGTTAAATTGTTCTTCTCTCCACCCACCTCGTCAGCCCCCAACATTCAGTCGTATTCTGTATTCTGTAATTTAGGACAATTATTCTATTTCATGTACTCTGGACAATGAAATGCAACTCTTGGTCTTCTTCCTTGTAATTTGGACACTATGAGGATATAATCCTTAAAGATTTTTGTGACAGTAGCTCCTCTTGGGATCTCCCACTGCAGATGACCAGGCTGAGCTCGAGGGAGGGAGTCAAACATGTCATCAGTCTCGAATCCCTTTGCTCCCACAAAAGGTTTAAGTCCAGCCCACCTTGAATTCTGTTGATTCTTATCTACGGCCAACTTGCTTTGACTGTTAGTTCAGAGCTCCTTGTAAAGAGCTTTAGCATGCAATAAGCCTATATATTCTTTTGAACTGCCCGGACTCCTGATTTCCCACGCTTGACACCTGCTGGCTCATTCTGAAAGACAAAGAAAGGAAGTATAATACTTTTGTCTTGAAGCTTTCACCTACCTTTGCAAGAGAGGAAAACATAATTACACCAAGCTGGCCCCCTACATCCAAATGGTAGAGATTAAAATGTCATTTTTCAATGTAGATTTCAAAGTTACAAAACAGGACTTTCAGCAGACTTTTTGTTCCTCAGAAGCTATGCTTCCCTTTCCTAACTTATATACTGGTGTGTAATTACAACTGTATTTTGTCCTGCTTTAGTTAAATAAATGTGCATCACAAAATAATTCTCTACAAGTTGGGGAAAAAACACCTCACAATCTACACCCAGAATTAACTTACACTTGTGGTTAAGAACACTTTTGCATCTTATCTAAAAAAAAAAAAAGCAGCTTTCTGCAACTGAAAAAAAAGTATATTGCCTTAGTTGGATAGTTGATAATTAAAGAAACCAGAAGGCAATATAGAGGGAATATAGCCTTTATCTTTCATGCTTCCACCCTGAAGAAAATCCCCATATCATACAATTCTCCTGAATAACATTAGGAAAAACCATTAAGATTGCCTATTTTTGTCATTTATCAAAAACTTGTGAAGTAAAAGAAGAAAACTTGATGTTTTAAAACCAGTTCTTGGTATAAAGACCAAGCAAGCTTTCCTCTTTTGCTTTATGGGATTATCACTTGGTTGTAAACAGTATGATGGCATCTGGTAAAGAAATCTATAAAATCAGGGTAAAACATTTTTGGCAGACATTGCATTAAAAAATGCAATGAAATGTAAGGCAGAGATTTTTGTTATTGTGGTTGCTGGGAATTGTCCTGAAAGTGTCTTTGAGGACTTCAGGTGGCATGGCATTACACCCAAGGGGTGTGGGTGGAGAGATGTTTATTCTTTTTTGTTGTTTTTATGGATTTTTAAAATAAAGGTACAGATAGCTCTTAACCTAGGACTTGTTTGATGACTGTTAAGATGGCAGTCAAAAAGTAATTCGTGACCAATCCTCACACAAGCATCCCATCCCCAGTCACATGATCAAAATTTGGGCACCTGGCAACTAGTGTGTATTATATATATATATGGTTGCAGAGTTCTGGGGTCACATGATTGCCACTTATCACCTTCCCGGGGAGCTTCTGATAAGAAGTCAATGGAGGAAGCCAGATTCGCTTAATGACCATGGTAAAGGTATACATTTGCACTTAACATTTAATAACTGCATCATTTAGCAACAGAAGCTCTGATCCCAATTACGGTTGTTGAGGACTACCTGCCATATTAGCTTTTGCTTGCATGAATTTATTTACATGCAAATTTATAATAAGTGGTATTTATAAGGGATGGGACGGGACTGAAGGGTAACTTAAAGAGGTTGAATTGGGAACAATTATTTGAGAGCTGTGGCATTTTATCATTTCATTGCTCAAAAATGGGAAATATTGCTTTTTATCATAACCCACATTTGTTTTGATGAACTCTACAAAGAGCAAAATAGATTTTTGAAGGAAAACCCTTTAGAAGCCATAGCAAGTATTTTAATAAAGAGTATTCCATCTTTAAAAAGTTATATTCCAAATTTCATGAGCCTTGTTTTACTAGTTGGGATGCCATTTGGTTGTTTAACTATTAGATCAACATAACGAAGACCCATAGCCTGCCTTGGTTAAGAAGGGCTTTGTGCGGCAAACAGTAATGTATGGAATTAGTACTCTCCCCCAAACTTATTTCACTGGCTGAGTGGACCATCTAATATTCAAGTCTGTGAATGACCACATCAACATACGCACAAGACAGAAGCTCGAAAGGTACCAAAGAGCAAGTCTTGTTTTCAACTCCAGCCTTGAGGTAAACTCTCTTCCAGGATCCAGAGGTGCCCCCTTCCACCTGCCAAATAAAGCCAGGTTACAATTCTAATTCAGCATTCATTGTGTGATAATATTTTGATAACGGAGCCTTCCAGGTGAATCCTCATTATCCTGGGGATAATTTATATTAAACATTATGCTAGGTTCATCCAGATTCCTTCAAGAAAGGACCATTATTATCAAATTTGCTGCCCATCTCACAGTCCAAGGCAACTCTATGCATTAAAGAGGCAAAATCAAAGACAAAGATCAGCAACAATACAGATACCCCTTGACTTACAACCATTCACTTATTGACCAGTTAGTGGCACTGAAAATGTGACTGGAGACCAGTCCTTGCATATACAACCATTGTAGCATCCCGTCACATGAGCACAAATCTGGTTCTTGGCGACTTGCATTTACGATTGTGGTGTCTGAGGGTCACGTGATTGCCACTTGCAATCTTCCCTGATAGTTTCTGACAAGTAATCAGTGGAGAAGCCAGATTTAATCAGTTCACTGAGCTACAATGATTTGCTTAACCCTGGCAAAAAAAAAGGTGGTGAAATTGAGTGTACCTCACTTAACAGCCACCTTGCTTAGTGATGGAAATTCTGGTAGTCATAAGTCAAGGACTACCTGTAAAAAATTGCCTCTACATAGGATACTAGGTCTTAATGTACAACATGGAAGATTTAGCTACAGGTCAATTAATCTGTAGGCACTTCCACTGAATACATCATGTGCAACTCAACACGGCAATCTTAGAATATTGTGGATTCTTGCACAATCAACTATAACTGAAGCTTAAAATTACTTGACACCCAGAAGTTTTCAGAAGTCAAGACAATATTATCAACATATATATAGTTGTTTTGTATCATTTTTCTAACATATGCAGCTTATTTTATTACATGTGATATCACTCTTCAGACATCTGACTTAACTCCTGCTGTCATGTTGGCCCATAGGACGGGGAGCTGCATATTAAAATGCTTCAATATTTATAATTGGTATGAAGTCTTGCAGTTTCATTGCTTCTTCCAGTTTCAGTGTTTGCATTATTTTAACCTTTTCTATAACATACCAGTGCCACATTAATTTTGTGGCATGAATAAATGATACCACAAAATCAGAAATGGATCAACAGTCATTTTTCAATAGTTAAGATTTGGGGCTCAAAAGCAACAGTTCAGAAACTCATTTTGGTCACAAAATGGTTTTTTTTAAATACAGTAAGAGTAAACTAACTTAGCTGTCTTTCCTGAGGCAATATAGATTGGCGTATAATTTTTTCAACTCAGTAGTAAGAACAGCTGAATTATAGTCAACACTATGAACTATACTGAGGAAATTTGCCTTATTTTTTTCCTTTTAATATTATATAATTACATTGCTGATTTGAAAGATGAAAGATTTCTGCGAGGGACTACAATCTTGCTTTAATAGCCCTTTGCTTTTAATATTTTAGCAAGAAACATATATAATATTTATGGGTATTTTAAGAGTGGTGTATCTAGAAAAATTCTTCTGCTTCTGAAATGAAACATTGTTTCACAAATATAATGCAGACCTAATAAGAGTTTGGTGATTCTTCAGTGATTATGCATACAACCCCACTATGAATGCATTGTGATTGTCACAAAATACTTTAGGAACTAACACTTCTGAGAGACTCAATGGGCAATATGAACAGTGATTGACAATCATTCTTTATGACAATTTACATACTTTTAATTAATGCATAAAAAACTGAGACAGCAACAAATGATAGTACCTGGAAATGTGGAACCAGAATGTAATTATTTCATCATATTTAAATTGAATCTCACATTTCTGATAATCTTTAAAATGTGTTTATTTGCTATATCTAAGCAATGCCTAGGTTGGCAGGGAATCCTAAAAAAAAAAAAAAAGGCCACAATGGTGTCTTGTATGCAAAGCTTTAACAGCACTTTACTGTAAAACATTCAAAAGGTTCAAAAAAAATGATGGTGAAACATCTATGTGAGAAACGAGACATTTCAAGCATCTGGGATGCAGTCTAAACTTCCAATTCAAAATACCTGTAAAACTTTCATAAATTTTACATCTGAAATGTTCCAAAATCAAGTATTTTGCACACTTCTATAACACAGAAACAACCCTTCTAGTTCCAAAAGCTTGATTTCCAAGCTTTTATTGCAACATCTATATGAAACTATTTTAGAAAACGTTATGCTTGTAGCCTGCCCACTTATGTGATTGAGTCCTCTATCAGGATTTCCATTTATCCAAGTACCCATGTAGTTACTGCAGCCTTAACTTGGCTGCAAAGAGTTGTAGTATTACAATGTCAAGAACAGAATTCATTTTCAGAAGGGCATTTAATAGGCTTCGTGAAGCCAAAGAACTGAATACAGGAATACCTTAACCACTTTTAGTACAATATTGAATTACATGTGAGTCTTCCAGTTTAAAAGAAAAATATAAACAAACAGTTTTTCAAGAACTTGCAAGTTCTGCAAGCTTCAGGTTCTAGGTACATCATACAGTATAAATTTGTTTCTGAAGATCAACACGAGTCTCCCTTAATAATCAAGGGGGGGCTGCCTTCCTCCATGCCCCTTCCTCACTACATCATAGTACTTTTACAAAACTACCAGGTATTAATGCATTTATAAAAACAAGGAGGATCTTCACACCTTGCTCAGGCTCTGGGGAATTATAGATGATATATAGGTCAGACCCTCCCCCCCACCTTGGCTTGTTAAAAGAAATCGGGGAGGGGGGGAAACAATAAATGTATTATTCAAAATGCTTAAACACACCTGTAAAAAATAAAAAAGGAAAAAAAGCAAATTAAAAAAATTCCTCCAAAAAGATCTAACAGGCCATCCTGTAGCAGAAGCTGTTGGGCTGCTTGTGATAAGACTACAAAAAGGGAAGATACAGGTAGAGAACTAAACAAGATTCAGCGAAGCTCCAAAAATCTTTATAAATACAGCCATTGGAAGGACGATCTTGAGTCAGGAAGGATTTATGCTCGGTGCAAGCTGAGAACGAGAAGCAGGTACAAATTGTAAAGCACACTGAAGAAACTGGTACATTTAACTAAACTAGTCTCCCTCCTCCCAACCCAGGCCAAATTGTTTACAGCCTTGGGTAATGGTGCTGTCAACTAACCTAAGAAGGAGCATGAGGAAAAGGGGGGTGGGGGGTGGCAAAGCTAAGTTTCCGTTGTTAAGGGAATGTTTTGCAAACACTTTTGTTGTTCTTTCAAAAAAGCATGGCTCTAAGAGGTACGTGGTGGTTTATTTATCAAAGCGTATAGTCCAAAGGATGTTTCTGTGTGCAAAGACTGCAGTCAGAATTTGTATAGACTTGTGCAACAGTTCCTTTAAGAATCAACTTGTAAAGATGTTGAACTGTCCCACTGTTTTTCTCCAGCAGGACAGTTCGTTTAGGCTGTATTCTGCTGGCAAAATAATTATGTAGAAGGCTAAATACTACGTTTTGCTACCTATTACATAACAGGAACATACTTCTTAATCCCACTTGAACATACTAAAGAAACATACTTACCTAATTATCATAATTGTCTCTGTAAGAGCTTCCAGAGTAACGGTCCCCATAGCCTCCCTGATTTCTGCAAGAAAACCACAACACTGATTTAGCCCGATGCTACAGTTAAATTGTGCAAATGCTAATTCTGAGAGCAAAACTCATTGCATGCAAGTAAAAAATTGCATTATCCTATATGTGCAAATGATAGTTGTGTGATTCTGGATATATTTTATCATTATCACTTAATACAACGTATTATGGATAGACCAAATCAACTATATGATGCATCTATTAATTATGTATGTCCTCAGAGATTTTTTCATTAGTTGTAATATTAAGAAGGGCTGATTTAAAGAGTGAAATACGGGCAGGCGGACAATCAGCACCTGTCCAGAGCCACTTAAAGCAGTTGTATTTTTTCCTGGGGGTTATTTGGTTCATGCCATCCTATACCACTATGCTTAAGATGTTTCTAACAGGTATTTCACCTGCAATTTTTTTGATCATATCTTCCTTTTGAATCCATATCTATTTTTCCATTAGTTTATATTACCTAGAATTAGGCACGTGGGTTCTGAATGGATTCTCATGTAATTTTGCATTTAAGAACCCTCTAAGATAACTCATATCTTAGAAAATATAAGAAACAATAATCCAGAATTCTAGGTCAAACTATATGCAATTGAAATTATCTATTTTCTCTGCTTATATCTGTTTCAATCCCTCCCCTTCAGTTTCCCTTCATTTTTGAATTGCACCTGGAAGCAAAATGGCAAACAGTGCAGTTTGTGAAGCAGAGGTGCTGCAAGGTCATATCAAGGCATGTCTAACATTGCCACGTGGTTGCATTCAGGACCAGTTATAACTTCCGCATGGTCTTTTTTTTTTTAAATTGCCATTGCTAGGAATGAATTAGAAAATGTCTAGTGAGATCCTGAAATACTGTACAGGTCAAGTAGGGGAGGCTGGTGTGCAATGCTCCCTCTCCCACCTCAGCAACTTCCAGCATGGCATTTTTCTACTGAACTGTCCTTCCCCCACCCACCCACCCCAGTTGTCAAAGTATTGGCCTGTGTGTCCATTCTTTAATGTGCAGTAATACTCTCAGAGGAAACAGGTTTCCAGCATGCAATACTCTGCTGGCCTTTCCACACCCAATTCCCAATGCTTTGCTCCCCCTTCTCTCCCTCTTATGGACTGCTGATGTCCTTGGCTTTTCCTAATTTTTTCACTGTCCTCCAAACTATTTTTGACTGGAATAATCATCTCTTTATCCGCATCTGGCCCAGAACATTCTTACTTTGTTCTGTTAATGAACCAATATGTATTTATGTATGGTTCAGTTGAGGCATGAAATATTTTGCGTATCTCTATCCACTTTCTGTACCCAATCTGTAAGGATCACAATTTCCCTCTAAAAAAACCTTACCTGCTGCCATAATAGTCTCTGGATCCACCATATCCACCGCTTCTGTTGTCATAACGGCCACCTCCATATCCACCGCCTCCTATTGCAAAGAGAAGGCTCTCTGTTAAATCTTACTGTTTCAATGCAGTGGAGGCTATGATAAAAGGGCAAGTATAATATTGTAGGAAAGCTCACCTCTAGAAAATCCACGTCCACGCCCTCTGCCTCCAGAAGAGCCACGGGAAGATTTTCCAGCCTGATCAACTCTGATCTGACGTCCATCCACAGACTTATAAGAAAAAAATCAAATACGTTTTTTATTTGATACAATTGCATCTACTGCCAAAAGGAAGATGCTTGGGGCGAGGATGAAATGGGTATAGTTAGGTCAAATACTACATTTGATTCTAGCATGTATGTTCCTTTTCTTTTCACAAGCCCAATTTGATAGCCATTTTGGGAGGAGTTCTAAGGATCGTTCAGCTCCAGACTGTATTTCTCCATTTCACAGCTTGATAACAGGAACAAACTCTCTTCTAATGTATAATACATAATGCCCAAAAAACAATATGACCAGTAAATTATATTCTAACTTTCTGCAGCCTATCTGCACTTCCTTCCTGAAACAACTTGCCGTCTCTAAACCAAGCAGATAAGTAATCCAGACGCAGGCCACACCTCAAATATATTTAAATATCAATAATGCAACAATTATCTGAAAAAACAAAACTCAGTGTCTTAAATAGGGCCAGGATTTGTTTGTTGCAGCTTTCAGTTAACTGTGCACATTAGTTAAGGGGAATTACAATAATTCTAATGAATTGTTTTATGGGGCTAATATTAGCAATCATGCTATTCACACTTTACCTGACATTAATTTTGAGATGTTTTATGAGTTTTTGCAGGCCTGGTAACAATATTGTGCAAATTAAAACTTAAGTCTATTTTCACCCTTAACAAAATTCTGTGAAAAAAACTTAAAAGGCATGCAGTTGCTACAAAAGTTAAAACACTTTCTTACTCTCCAGTTTAGAAGACACTGCTTTTCTATGAGTCTGTGCTTTAACAAAAAAGATTAAAATAGATTAAATCAGCTATCCCCAACCTTTCCAGTTGGTGGCCCGGGCCAGTGCAGGTGGGAGGGGGGCATGTGAGTGGTAGGTATACATGATCACAGCTCCATTTGTGTGTGTGGCAACTGCACATGCTCTCCCCTTGCACAAGTGGAGCTTCCACAAGCATCTCTCCTGTGCCCCAGTTTCAAACAGGCTGCGGCCTGATCGTCTGCCATGGCCTAGGGGTTTGGGACCCTTGGATTAGATGACTTCTGAAGTATTTCTGAACTCTAGGATTCCAGAAGTTTGATACAGCTGTATCTACTATGAGTAGAGATACTTGTATAAGTGGACATAGCTGCAGGATTTGAGGGAACATAATGTAATATTACAATTGTCAATCTATATTACAGGACAAGTATGCTGAGAAATAGCAAAGCATGAAACTTCACTGTAAACATCTTCATAGTCATCAACTAAAGTTCTCACCTCTCCATTCATGGCTCGCATGGCATCCTTGGCATCTTCAGGACGGCAATAGGTAATAAAACCAAATCCCCTGGATCGTTGGGTCTCTCGGTCTTTCACCACAACCACTTGAGATTATTAAAAAAAAAAAACACATTAACTTAGATCACAGATGTTCATGTCTACATAAACTTTTTCAAATCTCCCTATTGTCAACCCATATTAACTGTCAGGCAAAAGAAACGAGGAACATTTCATGTGATTTGTACAAAACAGTCAAACCAGACTGGTGATAGATAAGGGTCAACAGAATTCACAGGCTGGACTTAGATCTTATGTGGGAATGTAACAACTCCAAACTGATGACACATTTGACCCTGCCCTCAGGCTCCTAGTTATCTCCTATATTAACTATGTTCAGCTGATTACTATAAAAGTAAAATTTATTAACAGTTAGTCCTTACTCATTAAGGTAATTAGCTTACCAAACATTCATCAGAGGAAAGTCTTCCATAATATGAAATAAATCCTTGCAATTATGCATATGCTTCTACATGATTTTAAATTAAGACCATTCAAATGAAAATAGCAAACTATTTGTTTAGGATTAGTTGAAGCAAAATTACCTCAAAAGTAAAACACTGGACTACGTCAAGTCTTAAATCAAGGATTATGCTAAATGATAATTGAAAAAAATCTTACATCACTAGGAATAGATAGTGATGGTTGGTTTCATGATTTTAGAGTGAACTGTTGAATGGCTACACCTTTTTTTTAGCTAATTTGAGTCATGTTAAAACAAACCAAGGTGAAGGAGTCAGAGGTTGCTGTTTAACTGTGTTAATCATGATTACTGGTAGTGCACTAAACTATGAAACATATTTTTTTGCAAAATAATGGTCATGCCAAATTTTCTTCACCCCAAACAAAACAGTTTGTTTTGGATAGAATTTTTTCAAAGGTTTGTTCTGTTTTAGCATCCTGTTCTTGAAAATGAAAATTGTTAAATGTCCCTCTCTGAATCAGAGCATTGGGAAGGACCAGTTACATTCCTGTTGCTACTGTTTGGAATGAACTGAATGGAATTTGAAAATAAAGCAGCAGGCATACAAAGAGTGTATAGCATGTTGCAAAGTTCTGGTATCTCTTATTAATCTTTGGAAAAAATTCAGAGAAGAGCAACTAAGATGATCAAAGGCCTGGAGACTAAAACATATGAAGAACAGCTGCGGGACTTTGGTTTGGCTAGTCTAAACAAAAGAAATAGGGGAGACATGATAGCAGTGTTCCAGTATCTGAGGGGCTGCCACAAGGCAGAGCTTGAGCAGGGTGCTGGACTAGAAGACCTCCAAGATCTCTTCCAGCTCTATTCTATTTATACTATTTCTAATTCTATTTCTATTCTCTAGATTTTTGCAAACCTATTCACACTGCTGCTCATGGATGAAACATCTTAAACTGTTTTGGGTTCTTTTAACCAAAGGAAACAAGACCAAACAAGACTAAATTAGAATAAAATGTTAAGGGTTTTCAGATCACAATGTTTTGTCATTTAAAGCAAAACACAACAGTTTTTTTTGTCCATACTTCTACTGAACATTTTATGCACTGCATCACAGTACATGTTGCTGATGGTACATCTAACTTTGTATAAAGCAATATAATTAAAAGAAATAAATGTGATCTTGTGCAACCTAGTATGTCTGAAAAATTTTCTCACCTTCTGCAATGTCACCATAGGGCGAGAACAACTGCTCCAAATTTTGTTCATTGGTGTCGAAACTGAGTCCTCCAATGAAGAGCTTTCCTTCATCTGACGCCATTGTCTAAGTGATCTGTAAGCAAAAGGTACTTTAATTCTGAGAAAATGCAAGAATATACATAAGGGCAAACCCCACACTAGTTAAAATATTTTAATAATAATAATAATAATAATGAAGTTGGAAGGGACCTTGGAGGTCATCTAGTCCAACCCCCTGCTCAGGCAGGAAACCCTACACCATTTCAGACAAATGACTGTCCAGTCTCTTCTTAAAAACTTCCAGTGTTGGAGCATTTACTGCTTCTGGAGGCAGGTTGTTCCACTGATTAATTGTTCTCACTGTCAGGAAGTTTCTCCATAGTTCTAGGTTGCTTCCCTCCTTGATTAGTTTCCACCCATTGCTTCTTGTCCTGCCTTCAGGTGCTTTGGAAAATAGCTTGATTCCCTCTTCTTTATGGCAGGCCCTGAGATATTGGAATACTGCTATCATGTCCCCCCTTGTCCTTCTCTTGGTTAAACTAGACATACCCAATTCTAGCAACCGTTCCTTATATGTTTTAGCCTCCAGTCCCCTAATCATCTTTGTTGCTCTTCTCTGTACTCTTTCTAGAGTCTCAACATCTTTTTATGCTGCTTCAATTATTGTAACTTTTAAGTAGCTCATAGCAATAATATAAATTCAGTAAACATGCATATGCTATTTTAATGGATACAAGATTTTAATATATTATTGCTCAGAAGCATTCCATTATTTAGAATTATTAAAACTTTCAATTTAAAAGGTTTTATACATCTGTCTAGGTATTTGTAATTTGAACAGTGTAAAAACAGTAAATGTTTTCATCTTTAATTGGGGTAATTTCCAACTTGAAATTTCTGTCAGGGATGGAACTTTTTAAATTTTTTACTTTGAGGAAGGGGTGGAATACAGTTTCTTAATTATATGCATTTAAAAGCTGTTTTATTAAATCTTACTACCTATAGCAGAGATGTATAGGGCGTTTTTGGGAGATAAGTGGTACTTGGTACTTTAAAATCTAAATATATGCAAAACATTATAAAATCATTTTTTGTGGATTTCAAGGTAAGGAGCAACTATTCTTTCAGGATAAGAATTAAACATAGATCTTATTGTGTTAATTGGTATTTACTAGGCACAGTGTCAATTTTTATGATACATTCCTTTTGGTTTTTTTAGAAACAAATGGATACAGGAGGCTGAGAGAGCTGAGATCTGTGTCCAAATGAAGCAAACCTAATCAAACAGCAATGAAATCAACTGTAACAGTGCAGTTAGCTACTGTACATTACTCAAAAATTTTGATTTCATCACAAAAGCAGAAAAAATTTCTCCAGATCAAAAGCACTATCTGATAAATCTTGTAGACCTGTAAAAGTTGCTTTAGAAGTCTTGAAAACCTTTTCCTGTTATTTCTTTTCCAATGCCAGTTTTTGAAGGCAGGGATAATCTGTTCACCAATTGCATTATTTTATTTTTCCTTTATAAAATGTGTACGCCTTCTTTGATAATGTATGTCATCATCCTTTTCATCTCTGGGAAATTAAGGGTCTGTGCTATTTTCCTCTGAGGAAGCTGCCTTTCAGGCCAACTACAATATTTCATCCTGTAAACTGGGATTTAAGGTATCATTATCAAACCTGTCTCCTTTATAAGCACCACCTGCTTATTTATAGCCTTCATGGTATTGTTATATTCATAAAGTTGTGAAGTACATAATATTTTCTATTGAAACAACTTAAAATATTTATATCAGCACTTGTATCTGGAGGTTCCCATCTAAATATAGTATACAAATGATGTGGTTAAACCTTAATGATCCCAACAGGCAGTTTATAAGCATCTGATGCTGCTTTTGTCAGATAAGGATAACAAAGTACTGTAAAAACCAGCCCGCCCGTTGCATTCTTCTCAATAAGAAATGAAATCTGTATTTTATCTTCTTGCATTATAGGGTAGGGGAATAAAGTACCGCTACGGTTAAGAGACTAGAGGCATTTTCCCTCCCAACGTATTCCCCTCCCCCCCCGGTAAAATGGCCACGAGCACGTGGTCCGAACAGAATGCGGGAAGGCGAGTGGAGCGCAGCTCACGTTCCAGAGAAAAACCCAACTAAGCATGCGTCAAGTCAGCTCCCTCGCCGCCCTACTCGGGGTGAAGATTTTTCCTCCGCACACCGTTATCACCGTAGGTTACTATACTCACGAAACTTACCGCGTTTCTCAGAGCAGCGCGTCCTTCCTCACTGTCCGTTAGGCGCAAGACAGTGAAAAATGAGTTTCAAAACCGGCGCATGCGCGCAAGGGCCCAGTAGTTCTTTCTGGGCAACCGCCATTTTGTGAAGCGTCTCTCCTTTCTTTCCTTGCCCCTTCTCCCTCCTCTCCTTAAAAGCCTTTGTCCCCAGTTCTCTTCGCTAATCCTCACCCCTGCACGCTCTCCACCCACAAGAGCCCGAGCACACTCCGATATAAAGCACTCACCGAAATAGGCCTCGAAGCAAGAGCCGCGTAAAAGACCCGTCCGCTACCGAAGCAAGAGCTATCGCGATGGCGGCGAGGGAAACACGAGTGTTAAAGCGAGGCTGGTTACACACGCTTCTGCGCGGCTCCAGTGCAGCCATTGGTTGGAGTTGCCAGTGGGCGAGGCTTAGCCTAAATAGCGGAGACGCCCATCCGCTCTAGGAAAACTCTTTTTCAAACTGCGGCGTCTTACTGCAGCCCTATCAGCGTTTCCTTGCTAGGAATTACATCTGGGCGAACGGCACGGCCGCGTACGTGTCGCAGCGGCCATAACGGGCCTCCAATTCGCGGGCTTCCACTTTCCAAGAGAGTAATAAAACTGGGAGAATGAGCCAAAATTTGTGTAATGCCTTATCCCCAATTTAGGGGGAAAAAAAATAAAAAGAATGTTTTGTTGAAGGGAAGACAATAGACCTCTAATCAAATGTTGATGGATATTCTGATTATAGATACTGCATAATTTCCGTGAAGAGGTAGATAATAATCAGTAATTGACTAAAAAAACACTTTAAAAAATCAAAAGATTGCGGAAAAGGAGGCATGGGAGCTAAAGATAATTGGGAGGGAAGGAGGAACTTATACCCTCACATCACAACGAAAATCTCACGAGATACACACTTTGAATTCAAAGTATGTACACCAGATACATCCTGGATTGGATGACAATTTCATATTTTTCATCATTGCAGTTTAATGCCAGATTGCTGTACTCTGACATTCATTTTATCAGGGTCTACAATCAGGAATCATGTTAACACCAGCAAAATGGAAGCAAGGGATGTTCTATTTGTCAGATTAAGTCATATTTGAAACTTCCAAAAATTTCAAACATTTGTGTGTGATTGCATATTATGTTCTATCACTGATCATGCCTGATTCCAGAATAGTAGAGCAAGAATAAAATGTTTATATGGCATCAAGTCAGCATCAACTCTTTCTATGCTTTCATAATTACTTCATTTGCAGAATTTGGAAATTTCATTTTTTTCCTTTCCATCAGATTGGTAGACTATGGTATTCCTTCAGTGGAAATTGCATATTGAAGTATTCTAGAAAATGGTTAAGTTGGATCAGATAAATGGATGCATTGTTGAGCAATTATAGGAATGCTAGTAAAACGTCGGAATACTCACATTTCACTACACTGATTGAGGTAGAAAAGGAAGAGGAGATAAAAATTTCCCTCAAATCAAGATGTGGTTAGTTGCCACATCTTTAAAGTATTTAAATTTTAAAAATCTGTTTTAGCAGAAGAATATAAGTACCATATAAAAAACACTGAAATAACTTCAACATTTTCTGATTTGATATTCTAGCCCAATTCAAGAGAGCCAGTTTGATGTGGTTATGGTGCTGGTCTAGAAACCAAGGAGACTGAGCGGAGACCTAGGCCTCCCTTAGATATAAAAGGGAGTCTTTGGGCCAATCACACTCTTACAGGGTTGTTGCAGAAAAAATAGGCAAGGATACAGTACAGGTAGTTCTCAAATTACAACAATTTTTTTAGTGACTGTTCAAATAGTACTGAAAAAAAGTGACCCATAAGCACTTTTTAGTTTTGTTGCAGCATCCCCATGGTCATGTGATCAAAATTTGGACACTTGACAACTAGCATCTATTTTTGACAGTTGCACTGTCCTAGGGTCAGATGATTATAATTTCTAACCTTCCCACCTGGCTTCCAATAAGCAAAATCAATGGGGGAAGCCAGATTCACTGAACCACAAGACTCACTTAACAACTGCAGTAATTCACTTAGTACAGTGGTTCTCAACCTGTGGGTCGGGACCCCATTTGGGGTCAAATGACCATTTCACGGGGGTCGCCAAACCACGCTGTCCGCCATTTTTTTCCCTTTTCCCTAGCTGTCCTACTCCCTCTTATTGGTGGCCACACCCACTTGGGGGTCACCACAACATGAGGAACTGTATTATGGGGTCACGGCATTAGAAAGGTTGAGAACCACTGACTTAGTAGCTGTGGCAAAAACGTAAAATGGGGCACAACTCACTTAAGAACTGTCGTGCTTAGCAATAGAAATTTTGGGCTTCACTGGGGTGGCAAGTCAAGGACTACTTGTGTTAGATATGTTTGCCACCTTGAGATATATAAGAAAGGCAGGATAAAAATCTAATAATTAACCATCAAACCAATTTGATTTGACGTGTAACCAAATCATCAAATTAAACAGCATTTTATAAATATTTACAAAACATACTGTATTCAAGACAGGACTTATAAAAAAATAAAATATAAAAGGAAGCCATTCTATCTTCTAAAGGATGTTCCATACAGCAGGGGCCATTGTGGAAAAAACTTGTCTTCTGTTCCCCCCTAGTCGACACTTTCACTCACAGGAACTGCAGCATACCATTTTTGCTATATTGAGTTGGACAGATAGACTCTTGGAAAAAGGTGATCCCTCAGGTAACCCAGTCCCAAACCATGTAGAGCTTTAAAGGTGATCACCAGCACCTTGAATTATACCCAGAAACCATGCAGCTCACGCAGAAGTGGTATTATGTATGCCATATATCTGGCACCATTTATTATTCTTGAAACCATATTCTGCATCAGATGAAGTTTCCAAATGCTCTTCAGGGCCAGCTCTATATAGGGTTATAGTAGTCTAAACAAGAGGTTATATGGGCATAAGTGAGCAGAGCCTCATAGTCCAAGAATGGGCTCAACTAGTGCACTACCCAAAGGTGCTTTAAAGCCTTCCTAATCATGGTTGGCACCTGATCTTTGAGCAAGAGACACAAGTGTAGGATCCCAGATTGTGCATCAGGTCTATCTGGGGTAGCACAAACCCATCCAGAACTAAAGACAGAAGAAATTCAATGGTGACAGAATGAAATTCAGTGATGAAAAAAGTAAGGTTCTACATTTAGGCAAGAAAAACCAAATGCACAGGTATAGTATAGGGGGTACCTTGCTCAATAGTAGTAACTGTGAGAGGGACCTTGAAGTCCAAGTGGACAATCACTTAAATATGAGCCAGCAATGTGCTGCAGCTGCCAAAAAGGCTAACACAGTGCTGGGCTGCATTTACGGAGGGATAGAATCAAGATCACGTGAAGTGTTAATACCACTTTACAATGCCTTGGTTAAGGCCACACTTGGAATACTGCATCCAGTTTTGGTCACCACGATGTAAAAAAGATGTTGAGACTCTAGAAAGAGTACAGAGAAGAGCAACAAAGATGATTAGGGGACTGGAGGCCAAAGCATATAAGGAAAGGCTGCTGGAATTGGGTATGTCTAGTTTAATGAAAAGAAGGACGAGGGGGGACATGATAGCAGTATTCCAATATCTCAGGGGCTGCCACAAAGAAGAGCGAGTCAAGCTATTTTCCAAGGCACCTGAAGGCAGGACAAGAAGCAACGGATGGAAACTAATCAAGGAGAGAAGCAACCTAGAACTAAGGAGAAACTTCCTGACAGTTAGAACAATTAACCAGTGGAACAACCTGCCTCCAGAAGTGGTGAATTTATTTATTTATTTATTTATGAGACTTATATACCGCTTTAAGTACAAGCACTCTCTAAATGTGTACACCAGTAAGCAATGTATATATATATTTACATTGCCCCCAACAATCTGGGTCCTCATTTTACCTACCCCGGAAGGATGGAAGGCTGAGTCAACCTTGAGCCGGTGAGATTTGAACCGCTGACCTGCTAAACACAGTCAGCTAAAGTGGCCTGCAATACTGCACTCTAACTGCCGCGCCACCTCGGCTCCAACACCGGAAGTTTTTAAGAGACTGGACAGCCATTTGACTGAAATGGTATAGGGTTTCCTGCCTAAGCAGAGGGTTGGACTAGATGACCTCCAAGGTCCCTTCCAACTTTATTATTATTATTATTGATCATCGCACAGTCAGCCAGATGTTCAGACTGGATTTGGCATTTTGTCTACCTATCGAGTCCTTACCCAGGACCTGGGATAGGCAGATGTGGATGTTTGATGGTATTACATATATTGTCGCAGGATGGAAACAGTTCCTAGTAAGGTTGCCTTTTGCAATTGGCTAATAGCGAATTTGTCAATGCCAATGGTGTTCAAGTGGTGCTCCAGTTGTTTTGGGATTGCACCCAAGGAGCCTATCACTATTGGTACTACCCTTGCTTGCTTTTGCCACAGCCTTTCTATTTCTATTTGTAGGTCTTTGTATATTATTATTATTATTATTATTATTATTATTATTATTATTATTATTATTATTATAACTTTGTTTCCAGTGGTTCCAAATATTCACAGCCACTCCATTTTCCTATAGTTGAAATATAGACCATTATGCCCCAACCAGTGCCAACAGCCTCCAGATACTGAGACAGGACATTCTCAAAGAGTCTGGGATAGAGATATAAAGGGTATCATCCACATATTGATCTCACCCCAAGTTCACATATCATCTCATACAGCATCCTCATGTAAATGTTAAATAGAAGGGAAAAAACAGAAACCCGAGACACCCCACAAATTAGGGGACATATGCTGGATTTTGCTCCATTAACATTGACTGGAGGGAGAAGTAGCACCAATTTCTGAAGCTGACCCAGGATACCATGGTAGGTCAAGAAGTCGGGTCTAGATAATCTGCCTCAACCAAGTTTCTCTGAAGCTGCCATATGACCACTTTCCACCACCTTCCCTAAAAAGGGAAGATTGGAGACTGGACAAAGAATATCCAGACTACTTGGGTTAAGAGATGGTCCATTGAGGGGGCCATTATTTTAAGAGCTGGTGGGACCACTCCTTCTCTGGAAGGTGGAATTTAATTGCCGCCTAAATCCACTCATGCATCCTCTCCTACTCAGCCTTAATTAGCCAGGAGGGGCATGTATCTAACACACAAAAGGCCTAACTAGCAGCTGAGAGGGCCCAGTCCACTTCTTCAGCTTCTGCAGGCTCAAACTCTTCCCAGGTCACCTTGCAAAGTGTAACCCCCACTACTTGCATTGATTCTGCTATAGGGCTGGGGTTCAATGTAGAGCAAATACAACTGACTTTGCCAGATGTGCAGCATGTTTTTCACAGCAAACCTTTAGATATATTTCGATACTGCTCCCTCTGAGGAGGGACTAAAATTACATGAAACGGGGCCAC